TCGGGGGCGGGGAGGACTAAGTAAATCCACCCTTGGACCTGAACTTGGGGACTTGACGCGTGGCGGCGCTCGCGTGGTGTCCGCAGCAGACCGCCCAGGAACGCACAGTCACCTCCTGTCCCGCGGAAAAAGCTCCCCGGGGCCCGTTTCAGCAGCTTCCTGAGAAACTGCACGAGCCGGCCCCTCGCCGGATGCCGGGCCCCCTGCGCCTGCGGCCCCCACTCCGAGCGAAGGGGCCCCGCACGGGGCGCAGCGCCGTCGGAAGGCGCACCAGGCCTGAGCGGCGAGCGCGGGCGGGAGGCGGCCGGGCCCGGCAGTCGCCTCACGCCCCGCCCGCTGCTGGCACCTCCCCGGCGGGTCGGCGGCATTGAGGGCCCCCAAAGGCGCTTCGAGCCCCGGCGCTTTCTCTTTTCGTTTGCACAAGATCCCTGGTGGGGCCGCGGCCTCCAAATCGTTTTCTAAAGCGGAGCCTCCAGACCGCCCGCGTGGGTCTCCTGCCCAGGGCTCGCAGGTCAGAGACACAGATCCCCTGGGATCCGTGCTGCCCTGATCCTTGGGGCCTGTCACAGTCACGGCCACGTGCGGCGCAGGCGACAACGCGGTTTACTCCCCTTCCAGAGTGAAGTCACCGGAGCCCAGGCCCTTGCCTGGCCTCAGGGTGCCGAACCGTTCGGCCAAGTGCTGGCAGACCATCACCTGACCAGGTCCCACGCCCTGAGCGACACAGAAAGCCGCGGGGTGTCAGAGTTTGCACATGCCACAGCACTTGCGGGGACACGGCAGACTTGGCGGCTGCCAGAGGCCGGTGGGTGGGAAGGCGCAGAGGGCCGGGATGCGAGTCCGCTGTAGCCGCTGGCCCGCTTTCAACGAAGCGCATCGCTCAGGCCCAAGATGGTTGGGGAGAGTTGGCGGCAGAGAGAGAACAAGAGTCGGCGTCCAGCGGCGCACCCCGACCTGCAGAAGCCCGGACGCCCCATCCCTGAGCCTCGCTTAAAGCCAGAGTCAGTCCTGGAGATCTCCTGCAGCCTTCATAGGCTGGGGAGATAAAGATTAGGCACGCGCTCAAGCTCCCTGACTGGGGCCGGAGGAACCAGTCCCGTTGCTTCTCTATTGAGTCACAAGGTTTGCCCAGAGCGAAGGTCTCTTGGTCCACTGGCCTTGGAAATGAGCGGCAAGTCCTTTCCTCCCGATGGATCATCTGATTTCACTTCGAATGCCCCCAACCCTAGCCGAGAATGCCCTTGGGACACCCATGGGGCCACGCGTGAATGTGGTGTGCAGGATGTCCTCTGGTCAGTGGGTGCAGGCAGCCTTCGGGCAGGCTGCCTCCTCCGCGCTTCCAGCCCATCTCCAGGCGAAAAGGCCTTAGACCATCCCTGTCCGAAGATTTGGGGCAAAGAAATCCTGTCGACTCACGGAGCATTCCCAGAAGTGCCTTCCGGAAAGTCCGATGCTCCCAGGGAACTCTACAAGGCAGCTGGGAGTGCAAGGAGACATTTCAGTGAAGTGCAAGTTCCCAAACATTTACCAAAGCTTCCTCCATTTTGGCCATAACCTCCCCCCCCGGGGGGGCATGCAGGGGGATGGGTAAGGCTGGGTGAGGGGAAATCGGAGGTCAAATCCAGACCCAAGGCCCTTGGCACTACAGGAGGTGTCTCAAGCAGCTGCTCTAAGTGTTGGGGCTGAGGGCTGAGAACCTCTGTTCTGTCCTATAGCAAATTCCGTGAAGGAGGGGCCAGACAGGGGGGGGAGTGTGGAGAGACCCTCGCTGAGATTCTAACCTTTTTAGGGTAGGCATCCAGCCAGGCCCCCAGCTGCCAAGAGGTTCTGGCCCAGACCTGCTAGAACTGGTTTGTGACAGAGGTGGAAGGAGATGATAACTGATGTCACATCACGCTCACGCCTTGGGTGACAGGGCAAGTTTTCCTGTGCTTGCTTGGTAAAGGCTTTCCATCCGGCACTCTGGGTGGCAGGCTCCTCATCCACTCTGCTTTGTCTGCTGCTGAGAAATGCCTGTCGGCTCCAGGCGGAGTTGGTGGTTGAGCTGTGCCATGGGGAGGTTCAGAATTGTGGGGCTCCAGAAGAACAGAGAAGCTGCAATTCTGAGGCTCCAGGAGGGCAGAGAAGCTGCCTGCTGTGAGGATTGGCAAGGCCCAATCCTGGGAGAACCCCCCTCAACAGGTAAAGCTTCAAAGGCCCAAGGAGGGGCAGGTTTGTGGCCAAGCTATGGCTGGGGTCGCAGAGACCATCCTTGGCCATCAATGTTAGCACTCTCACACCCACTGAAGGCCGGTACTGGCAGGGGTTAAGGGCCTCACTGAGGCCCCAGCTAATGGTGAAATGGGTCCAAAGTGACTGGCTGGTCCAGCACCCAGCCAAGGTGTGTCTTTCCTTCTCTGGCCTTCTTTTACCAAAAAAGTATTTTGGCTGTGACCAGAGCTGGGAACTGCCTGTCAGCTGAAGAGATCCCTGGAAAGGGTAAGTCCGCCATTAGTAGCAAGGTATGCTGGGGGACATCCTTGCAGTCTGGGTAACAGATTTTCCAGGTTTCCCAGGATGCTCGTAGCTCACTGGAGGACAAGTTCCTTATCTTGGGTGTTTAGACAGAGTAGCCTGGTACACTAGGACCTGCTCTACCCACGGAGGAAGTCTACAAAGGTGCAGGCACGTATTCTCCTGGTGGTGGCCTGTGTCCTCAACTCTAGAAGACAGGTCTCCAGGAGCTGAAAGGGAAAGCCGGACCACTCACTCTCATCGCCACCAAAAGACTTTGGACATTCTGGGACAGAGGGGAAGTTTAGGGAATCATGCTGGCTTCATAAATAAATGAGTAAATAAATGAGTACCCTAGCCCCATAAACAACTGGCAAAGCCAAAAACAAAAAAACAAAGCTGGGGTTCTGGACTCCCCCATTTTCAGTATCTGTGTCTCCATCCCCTTAGAAAGTTTACAGGGGTGCTAACAGAAATGAGGCCTGGAGGTTTTAGCGTGTGATCTGTGCTGCCTTGGCATTGAGGCATAGGAGCTTGCAGCCCGCAACAGCTGGGTGGGGAAAGGGGGACCGGACGTAAAATGGACAAGTCCGGCAAGGAAAAAAACCCTAGGCTTTTCAAACCCTAGAAAGCCTCAGTGCGCCCTTGTTCTTCCATTGCTCTCTCTTTTCTGCCAAAGGACCAGCACCACGGGTTTTCTCGGGGTGTTCTGACAAAGAAGCAAAAAGCAGGACCACGTCCTACCCCCTTCTCTAAGGAGACGATGCAGGAACTTAGCTCTGGGTCTCAGGCCGCGGCGACCAGGAACCGAGGCCTGAAGTAGGGAGACGGGAGGCTAGTGGATGCCGCGCCCTCTGTCCGCGCACCAACCATGGGGAAGCGCTCCAGCCGCTCCTGCCGGCTGCCCTGGACTCCCCCAGCGCGGCTGCCGGGCTCCGCGGCTCCTCGGCTGTGCGTCCCCGTCCCCGGGAGAGTCAACTTCCGTCGGGAGTTTCCCGGGCCCCGCGGGGTTAAAGCCTGAGTGCCTCGCCGGGCGGGGGCGGTACGGGGGAAGGAAAGGCGGGGTCCTCCGGGAAGCGGATCCTCGGAGTCCAGCGCCGCCGCCGCCCGCTTCTCCCCCACCCACTCCCCTCTCCCCGGAGGACGGCTCGGGCCCCGGGTTTCCAGCATGGGGCGGGCACTGCCAGCTAGAAAAGCCAAGCCTTTCCCTCCCTCCCCGTAGGAGAACCCAGACTCTGCATCCCACTGACCTCCTCCCGGTTACAGCGTCTGTCTGACCGCTGCAGGCTTCAAGCGCCGGGGCGGCCCGGCCGGGCCCGAGCACCTGGCCAGGCCGGGCAAGCGCTGGGTCGCCCCTCCCCCTTTCTTTAGGGGTCTCACACCCACACTTCTTCCCCCGGAAGGCTCCTTCCGTTCCTCTCTTTCCTTTTCCTGGAAGGCCCTCGGTGTCCTCTCCCACTCTCCTCCTCCCCTTCCCACCTCAGTCCCCTTTTCTCCGCGCCACCCTCAGCCACCCCCTCCTCCGGGGTCCTCCTCCCCGTGTGCTCTTTGGGCGTCCGCCCCGTCAATCAGCGCCGTCCCGGGCCCCGGCCCGGCCCATCTCCGCCTCCCAGGCTCGGGGAGCGCCCGGGGCTGCCGTCTCGGCCGCCCTCCGCCGTGTGCAGAGCCGGGGCGCTGTGTGAGCGGAGCCGGCCGGGGGCTGGGGTGTGGGGGGAGCCGGCCGGGCGGCCGAGGCTCGGGTTACCCGTGACTGACAGCGTCTCCATGGCGAATAATTTGCCTCGACTATTGTCTGGCGCGGCCAGGCCCCGGGTCAGATAACCCGACCAATCAGGGCGCGGGCCGCCGCGCCTCGCGCCCGCTTAGAATAATATTATTAAAAAAGCTGCGAGCGAGCTAGACGGGAGGGAGAGCGAGCAAGCGAGCGGGCGGGCGAGCGAGGGACGGGAGGGCGGGCGCGGAGCATGCGGAGCGGCGCCCCGGGCGGCCCCCGGGCTCGGGCGAGGCGGGCGGGCGGGCAGAGACCAGAGGAAGCGGCCCAGGCGCTCGATGTTGCC